TTTAACCCAAAATTGGGGATTTTTTTAAAATGATTGGGTAGGCTGCAGAAAAGGGCCTAGAAAGGATGTTCTAGCTTTGACCTGCAAGTCAGAATAGATGACCTTCTGTTTCTGTGTTTCTGAGTATTAGGGTAAAGAATCATTCATTCTGTGTTCCTCACATGTGCACTCCCTGCCTGCTCTTTGCAGGGGCAGCCAGCCAGCTGTCAACAGGAGTAATAAAGAAAGACCCAATCCAGAATACCTTATGGGATGATGGTTAGAGAGCACTGCCTGGGATGCAAGCAATATGCATTTGAATCCTTTTTGGCATAGGAAGGAATTTAGTGTGGAGAAACATCCTGAGACAGTGCTCTAACTTCTGTGGTATAGAGTAAAAAGAAGATATCACTTTCTCTCCCTTCCCCAGTTTGCACATTTAGCCCCTCTTGTCACTTGCTTTCCAAACAGGTATTTCACTACCAGGTAGAGGGAATGGTGTTTATTTAGAAAAGTAACATTTTAGGTTTTATTTTGTGGAACAATGATATTTTCATTTTGGGAATTTTTATTGTTGGCCAGTTGAACTGAAAGGTCAGTTATTCACACAGGCTCAGTTCCATTAGGTACAAAATTGTCTAGGGAGAACTCAGAATCATAGAATCAGAAAATTAGTGTTGGAAGGGACCTCAGGAGGTCACCTAGTCCAACCCCATACCCAAAGCAGGACCATCTCCAACTAGATCATTCCAGCCAGGGCTTTGTTGAATCAGGCCTTAAAAACCTCCAAGGATGGAGATTCAACTACCCCTCTACATAACCCATTCCAGTACTTCATCACCCTCCTAGTGAGAGTTTTTCTTAATATCCAGCCTAAACCTCCCTTACTGCAACTTGAGACCATTGCTCCTTGTGCTGTCACTTGCCACCACTGAGAACAGTCCAGCTCCATCCTCTTTGGAACCACCCTCCAGGTAGTTGAAGGCTGCTATCAAATCCCCCCTCCGTCTTCTTTTCTCCAGACTAAATAAGCCCAATCTCTCAGCTTCTCCTCAGAAGTCATGTGCCCCAGCTCTTTAAGCATTTTCATTGCCCTCCACTGGACTCGCTCCAATTTGTCTGCCTCCTTTCTGTATAGGGGCCCCAAAACTGGGAACACTACTTCAGATGTGGCCTCACCAATGCTAATTAGAAGGAAGTACTTACTTTTCTTGATCTTTTGGCAACGCTTCTACTAATGCAGCCCAGCATGCTGTTAGTCTTTTTGGCAACAAGGGCACACTGTTGACTGATATCTAGCTTATTGTCCACTGTAACCTCCATGTCTTTTTCTGTAGAGCTGCTGCTTAGCCAGTTGGCCCCAAGCCTGTACCAGTGCATGGGATTTTTCCATGAAGGACTTTGCACTTGTCTTTGTTGAACCTCATGAGATTTCTTCTGGCCCAGTCCTCCAATTTGTTTAGGTCACTCTGAATCCTAGCCTGTCCTCCAGCATATATACTACTCCCTGCCAGCTTGGTGTCATCTGTGAAGTTGTTGAGGGTGCAGTCCATCCCATGTTCCAGATCATTAATGAAGTTATCGAACAAAACCATCCCCAGGACTGGCCCCCGGGGTACTCCACTTGATACCTGCTGCCAACAAGACATCGAGACATAGATCGCTACCCATTAAACCGGATGATCTAGTCAGCTTTCTATCCACCTCAGTTCATTCATCCAACCCGTACTTCCTCAGCGTGCTTGCAAGAATGCTGTGGGAGACCATATCAAAAGCCTTGCTGAAGTTAAGGTACATCATGTCCACTGCTTTCCCCATATCCACAAAGCCAGTTATCTCGTTGTAGAAGGCAATCAGGTTGGTCAGGCATGACTTGCTCTTGGTGAATCCATGCTGACTGCTCCTGATCACAACCTTCTGCAAGTGCTTAGAAATGGATTTTTTGAGGACCTGCTCCATGATTTTTCTGGGGACTGATGTGAGTCTGACTGATCTGTAGTTCCTTTTTCCCTTTCTTAAAGATGGGCGCTATATTTGCCCTTTTCCAGTGGTCTGGGACCTCCCCTGGTTGCCACAAGTTTTCAAAGATAATGGACAGTGGCTCTGCAATCATTGACCAACTCCCTCAGCACCCTTGAGTGCATCCCATCTGGCCCCATGGACTTGTATGTACTTATCTTTTCTGGTTTTTTGCTACTGTTGGCTGCTCACGTCCTCTTCAAATTGTGCTGCCAGGTGCCATAGTCTGGGAGCTGAGCTTGCCTGTGAAGACTGAGGTCAAAAAGGCATTGAGTACTTCAGCCTCTTCCTCATCACGTATCACTAAGTTGTCTCCCACATTCAGTAAGGGACCCACACTTTCCCTGACCTTCCTCTTGTTTCTAACATGCTTGTAGAAATCCTTCTTGTTACCCTTCGCATCCCTTGTAGCTGGAACTCCAATTGTGCTCTGGCCAGTGCAAAACTGCATCATTACACAGCCTCAAGACACATCACAATTGCCAGTACTGGTGAATACCGTGCCATTTTGGCCTTCTACAAACACTGAGCCAGATGGTGAACAGTGCATTGTTAACTTAGGTGAGTGGCACCTGGGTTAGCTAAGGCCTTGTGTGAGCAGCTACCCTGTCAAGCTGTACCTGGCATAATTCTGTCTTCTCTAGCACACACATCACATATACCCATATCAGTAAAGTGATGTGGGTGTTTGTCTGCTACAGTAACCTGAGATGCTTTGTTTGAAGAGAATTGGGAGACAGCACCATAAAACTATCAGCAATTGAATGCACCTGCATTTGTATCCTGTATTGTGTATTGGGCAAGTTTCCAGCCCAAATGAAAACAATCTGGGCTTTAGCTTACACTCTAGGATGAGCCAGCTCACACTAAGTTCAGGTCAGGGTTTTGTACAAGGACAAGATTTTGGTTAGCAGCAACACTTGAGGAAGAGCCCGAGCTAACTCTTAGGATGAAAACACATCCTGTGTTGTCTAGAGCATTTGAAACAAGGCTTAGGTTGTCTAAAGAAGCGTGTGTCCGAAGCAAGGGGAGAATCTAATGTTAGAAGTAAGGAGCTGACCCAGAGTTCACAAACCAGCAGGTTCTGAATGAAGACATGGAATGAGAGACAAAAATTGTGGTGAAGACAGTGCCAGAGACTCAGGAGCTGAGGAATCCAGGATGCAGGGGCAGTTAGGCAGAAACAGAAATAGAGCCAGGGCAGGAGCGGAGAAACAAGGCTAAATTGGGATCCAGGGTAGGTTGTGAAAACCAGGTAGGAGTTTGGAGCAAAGGTGGGGAGTGGAGACCAAGCAAGCTGAGAACCATGAGTGGAGATGTAATATGTTAGGACTGAGGTGTATTGTGTAGCTGCTTGAGTCATGCTTAGGTTTTTCTTAAGTAAGCTGGCTAAAAGAGACAGCCTACTCAAACCTGGCAGAGGCTGACTAGGTTATCAGGGGGCCTAGAATTGTGCTGGTTGGTCTCCATACCAACTGGGAACACAGCCCTTTTCACAAGGCAACCAAGGAGGTCGGTGAGGGAGATAAGGTAAGAATTCAGGATGCCCCTGGACCCTGCCTCTGCTGGGATCCTTGCTGGAACAGGTGGTTAGGTGTGTGACTTTTCCTGACATAGATGTGCCACTATACTCCTCTGGCAGAAAAAGTTCTTTGGGTAAATGTGATAGCTTTTATTAGACCAACTAAATAGTTGGACACTTTGTTTTTTGCAAGCTTTTGGGCACAAACACCCTTCTTCAGGCTTAGGGAGAGTTTGTGTGCTTTCCTGGGTAGAAGAGAAGCTTACGCCAATATGCAAAATGCAGGTCTGTAATAATGCAAATGCATGGCAGTGAAGATCGGTGGGGATGGGAGACAAAAATGTGAGACAGGTAGTAGGGGGGGAAACGGGTGAGAGAATGTAGTGGCTGAAATGCAGACGGGTGACCTGGGGTTATTGGATGGCAGGCAGGTTATAATGTGCCATAAATCCAATGTCTGTATTTAGTCCATGATTTTTTGTATCCAGTAGATTTGTGAAGTTCATAGCCTTATCCATGAAAGGTGTTTTGTGGGATCAGGTGTAAACTGTACTGGTGAAAGCAATCTTGCCAGGATAGTGGCATCTGTGCAAGGACCAGTTTGATAGGATAGCAAAACCTGTTAGGTTATACAGCTAAACCCTTCACTCTCTTTCTCTGTCTCCCTCCCAGATTACCTCATCTCTCTTGTTCTCTCTTTCCAAGATTACCTCATAGCATAGGTGCCAAGTACATGGGGGTCCAAGCCCCTGGGCCCCCTCGGAAAGAGGGATGTCAGGGCCCAAACCTGAGAAAAATTATGTAATATTTCTTAGGAATGATGACTGAGGTCAGGGATCTGGGTTTTCCATTCACTGTAGAAAAGGTGGATTTTCTCCTTTAACAGAGGAAAAACATGGGAAACTGGGGGTCTCCCCTTGCAGGCTGGCAGTGTTCCAGCCTGCAAGGGGCTGCTTGGGACTGGGGGGAGCAGGGAGGGTGATTGGAGGCTGGGGGTGCCAGGCACATGTGCACATGCACCCCCACCATATCACCTGCCCACCCTCCACACATTGCCTGTGCCCACTTCCCTTCCCCACACGCCCACCCTGTTCCCCACACACTGGGGGCAGGGGGTACATATCCACCATCTGAGAGCCCCTCCCCCCAGCAAAAATAAAGGTTGGTACCTACACCTCTTAGTTGTTCTCATCTCTAACAGGTTGAAGTTTACAAAAAGGAAGTAAGTGATTTGGAAGCCTCTGCTCAGCTGCTAGAAGAAGAAAATATATATATGATACAGATACTGTCTGACCGCAGACTGCAAAATCTTAGAATATCCAGGTAAAAATGGCTCCATTTACAGACCTAGGGCTAAATCCATTGTAGTACCTAGCCACAGAAGGATAGTTAAAAGACACTGGGGTAGGCATCTAAGCACCTAATTGTGGCAGTGGGGACAATTAGGTGACTTCAGAGGGTGGTTCAAAGAGCCCAGAAGGTGAGTGGGGAGCTGCCTGCAATTAGCTAATAGCACAAGGGTGCATATGAGCTCCTGCCTCACTCCAGAGCTTAGGTGCTGGACTCATCCTGCCTCCATCCACTCAGGATCCAGAGCACCCAATCCTTTTTTGAGGTAGACACACCCAACTGACATGGTGGCTGTTGAACTGGGAGGCTTGGGTTCTGGGTCCCTGCTGCTAGTGTTATTTCTGTTTGACTAATGGCTGTCTCATGTTGTGATTCACAACTGAGGTGCTACAGAGTGCCACACAATGTTAGCACTGGTAGGTGTACAAAAATGATTCACAAGATGAAACCAGAGATTTCAAAAAGGAATCCATAGCATTAAAAACATTCTGTCCTTTTGTGGTCTTCCTGGATTCTTTGCAACAGAATTATTTTAGTATTTTTCTGTAGTTAAAGAAACAAGTAAAAACTAAGCTGGCATTTTCCAAGGGGTGCCTCAAGTCTAAAAAAAGTTGAGAACCACTGGTCTAATGCAAAATGCCTAAACAGGCCTTGGAGCAGGGACTGTAACCCAGGGCTTCCTCTGCTCCCAGCTGCGTTCTGACCGCTAGAGGCAGGTTCCCTCTTGCTTGGTGCCATCCTGGTCTCACCACTCTTGTACCCTTTCAGCACAATGGTTCAGCTTCAACAGGAAGGGTGGCAGGTGTTCCCACCAGACTAGGCTTTAACCTGGTGGTTAGGGCACTCACCTGGGAGACAGGTGTGGGTTTGAGTCATCTCTGGCTCAGGAAAGCCTAAAACTTAGGTCTCCCACTTCCTTTGCAAGTGCTGTGACCAGCAAACTGTTGTGCACCACCTTCTTGATTTCAGCCACACAAGGGGTGACAAGCTCTTTTTGGACTGCTTCTCAGTAAAGGCTACCAGCTGTGGTTTGCATTGTGAAGTCATCCGAGACTAAACATTTGTTTTCTTTTGGTCTTATGGACAGACTTGAACAAAAGCCCTAGGGGGAAAAATGTGCATTAGCCACTGATCTAGCTGGCTGTCTCCATTGCATTTTAAACCTCTACACTATTCTGAGCTTGTGGTTAAATGTCAAACAGTTTTTAGACCGTCTCTTGAGGAAGGACAGCAGAGTCCCCAGTCTAGTTGCTAGAGAAAAGTTCAGAACTCTTAATATGAATTTTCTGTTATTTGTTTTTTAATTCCACAGGCCTTTATTTCTTACCCAGGGAGCTGGCCTGCAGGCTGAAGATGAATTGCTTAGTGCAAATTTGGAAGGACTAGCATGCGGAGAGCATTCAGGTACTACCCATGCCAAAACTCCGTAGAACATTATGAGTAATGAGGCATTACAGTGGTCTTTGCAATGTGAATAATCTGCTGCAACAATAATCGCTTAATGTAACCAAAATGCAGCACATGTAGACATACCCAACCTAGCTTTAAATAAGCTAGCTCAGGTACTGTTAGCAGCATGGCTACAGTAGCACAAAGCTCATCTTAGTTAGCAAATTCCACCCAAGAAGCAGATTGTTATTTGGGCAGTTGGCCAGGCTACATTGCTAGTAATGCCTGAGCTAGCTCATGTATGTCTACACCAACTGCTGTCACTGCAGCGCAGACATACCCTTGGCATGTGTCAACCATGGTGACAGTCGCACAGGGAACAAAACATCTTAAAGTAAATAAAAAAACCCAGAAATCTGAACACTATCTCCCCTCTTTCCTTCCAAGTCTATAGTCAAATAGTGAAGTATTTAATTTAATCCAATTCTGTGTCTGAGTAAGAGAAAAAGGCCTCCACCGTCTGGGTGGAGGCCTCAGAAGAGCCCATGGTAGGCTGCAGCCCCCGGGCAGGGCCCCTGGCAGCTGCGCTCCGCGTCTGCATCACCATGACTGCAGAGGTGCGCCCGCTGCCTTACTCCCTGGAGGAGCCGCCCTGTGCAGCTACCTCGCGCCCGCCTTATGCGAACGCCGGCGCAAACGCCAGCGCGCCCTTACAGAGCGCGCCTGTTTGCGCGCACTGTTTGTGCGCGCTGCCCGCGCGCGGCTCAGGAGCGTGGCTCCCTGTTCAGCGAGCTAAGGCATTGCTGAAGGGCTTCCCCTCCGGATCCGCCTCAGCTGTGCTGCGCTCCCTACCTCACTTACCTTAGGGGGGAATCAGCTGTTGCTGCCCCCACCGCTGGTCTCCTCTGCTGCTGCTGCTGCTGCCGCCTCCGCTGAGGTAAGCAGGGACATGTGTGGGTGGCACACGTGCACCCTGCTCCCTTCGCTCCTGCTCCCCAACTGTGGCATAGATGCCTACACAGTCAGATGGATTGCAGGTTGGCTGAAGGGTCGCACTCAGAGGGTGGTGGTGGATGGGTCATACTCGACCTGGGGGAAGGTGGGTAGTGGAGTCCCCCAGGGCTCGGTCCTGGGGCCTGCGCTGTTCAATTTCTTCATCAGC